AACTGCTCATGAGCACGTGCTCATCCGCTCATTAGGCCCAATGGCCCGAAGTGCATTCTTCCTTCGTGGAAGCCCAGACACCACTGCAGAAAAATTGATTAGTTTATGTACACAGATGTATAATTTTTCGTATTCGCATGTTTTCGCCATTTTGATTTCTATCCGGCAAACCCATGTAAAAAATGACAAGAAAAGACAGGTATAATTGAAAAGCAATTTATTTTAATGACTCCAAGTTACATGCTGTGTTTATACTGGTCTTCTTTTACATATAATACTGTTCAAGTACAAGAATTCAATCCTATATTCGACCTATCAGTCGAGTCTAATCATCACTGCATGTCATCATCATTCTCTTCATCAAAATCGTAACGCTTTAAGAGCCTTCTTATAAGAAACTTTCTCTTATCAACAGCTGCTTCTAACGCTTCTTCTGGATCAAAATCATCGTTTTCCACAAGCCCATCTTTTGTGTGCATTATCTTCTTATGTACTGGATCTTTCTTTAGTTGTCTCATCCACACGAGACCCTCCATATAAATATTTTCCAGTTCCTTCTGGAGTTTAGGCAGCATATTAGAGAAAGCTTTGTCCTTAGCGGATTGCTCATCTAGACCAGTGTTTATAAGGCTTTCTTTCATTTCCTCTAATGCCATATTTCTTTTTTGTTTTGCTTCTTCTATCAACGGTATCCAAGGGTCCATTTCCTCTTCAGTTTCTGACTCATTATCAGTCCACATCGAAATTTCAGACACATCAGTTGAAGCTGTTGGGACGTCATCTTGGAAATCCCTTTCCTGGCTATCCGAGTCGGTTTGAGACATGTTTCGTTCTTTTGCACGTAAGGGACAGTATTCCTTTTCGTGTCTTCGTAAATTGTAACCACGGATAAATTGCTTTCTGCAAAATTTGCAGCTCATTCCGTTAGCACTGACTGTGTAGAAATGCCTTGTTATTGAGCAGCACTGCAGTTTTATGAGCAGATGAGCATGTGCTCATGAGCAGTTATGAGCAGATGAGCATGTGCTCATGAGCAGTTATGAGCAGATGAGCATGTGCTCATGAGCAGTTATGAGCATCTTGCATCTGCTCATCGCACAAAATTGTACCCGACATGATTTTAAAAATCTAACAAAATCTGTGCGTAGTAGTTCGGAGTTAAATGTTTCTTATAAGAAGGCTTTTAAACGGTTACGATTCTGATGACATTCAATGATGATTAGACTCAAATATAGGATTGAATTCTTGTACTTGAACAGTATTATATGTAAAATAAGACCAGTATAAACACAGCATGTAACTTCGAGTCATTAAAATAAATTGCTTTTCAATTATACCTGTCTTTTCTTGTCATTTTTACATGGGTTGGCCGGATAGAAATCAAAATGGCAAAAACATGCGAATACGAAAAATTATACATTTGTGTACATAAACTAATCAATTTTTCTGCAGTGGTGTCTGGGCTTCCACGAAGGAAGAATGCACTTCGGGCCATTGGGCCTAATGAGCAGATGAGCATGTGCTCATGAGCAGTTATGAGCAGATGAGCATGTGCTCATGAGCAGTTATGAGCAGATGAGCATGTGCTCATGAGCAGTTATGAGCAGATGAGCATGTGCTCATGAGCAGTTATGAGCATGTGCTCATCAGTAGTGTGCTATATAATATATATTATTTTTTAGTGGGGGTGTGGGAACCAACAAGAATTATTTAAAAATCCTTATATTACATCAATTCGTTTTTTGTTTTTTTTCCGAGAAAAACAGTCGATTACCATATTTGGTAAATGACTACAAGTTTTGTTTTTGATTTATTTACTTCCGTTGGATACCATGTGCTCATCGTTCTTTGTAGGGTAATTAGATATGATTATAATTTCATCACAACGATTGATTTGCTCATCTTCAATTTCACCTTTGACAGCTTCCACATACCCATCATTTATAAGTGTAGGGCACCATGGCTGGCTCTTTATCGCCAAACAAACCCGAACCTAAAAAAAAAATACAAAACATGAGCGACGACGAAGAAAGAATGACTCCGATCGAAAAAGATATCGTACTGTCGCTAACAAAAAAAGAATGTCTCAACAACGGATGCCTACACTGCGAACATACGGATGCACACGATCGTAAACTACATTTTCGCACTCGATACTGTGAGAATTGTCGTCTTGACATATGGCGTAAAACGGAAGATGCGCGAAAAGTCGAGTTCGAAGAAAAATTCAAACGAATCGAGGAATTCGGTACGCAGGAATTTATGTCGACCGGTCGCGTGTACTACACGAAACCCGCAGACTTCGAATACATTCATCTGAACAAGTCTAAAAAGTTCACGAGCATCAAACCGAACTTAGAAGATGCCGTAGCCGAATATCTCGCCGACCCAGATCGAGACAAAACACTCGAACAGTTGCTAGCCAAAAATACAGAAATTCCCGCACAGAACCCAAAATCTACGAATACGTTCACCTCAACGACGAGACAACATTCTCAAGTCAACACGCAAAGATCGAAGATGAAATAGCTGAACACTTGACAACATGTGGAAAACCACCAGTAAAGAAGATAAAACAATTTCCAGAACTACAACTAGGACGTATTTTAAATAAATAAATAAAAAAGTTCGACAAATAAGCAAAGGTAGGGCCCCGCACTCGTTTAGGAACAACAACACTCAGAATCAATTGTGATTGCATTTGACGCAACAATATATCATACAGGGCATCGTCCCCACGAATAAATTTCGGTATCAAACCCTTTTCAATCAAAATGTTTTCCAAATCTGTAATTTGCCATTCCGCCTTTTCAATAGGTAAACCAACTCCATTCTCACACTCTGTACTCAATCCAAACGATTTACCACTCATTCACGAAGAAACAACCTTTTCCCACTTTGCTTGCTCCATCTCGAGATATTTATGTCCTATCATTAAAGCCAGTTTTCTTGCTAAGTCAGCACAAACGGGCCTGGGCAATGTAGTAAAAGTACAATGTGTTCAGCCATGTACAACAGTTAATGACTTTTGCTATTGAACCCGGATTAGTGATATTCGAATTTCGCCAGGTTATTAGTCGCGTGACCATGCAATTAAACGTTGTATCCAAGATTGTTTTATTTCAAAGCTAGCTATGTCCATCTGTTTTAATTCCCATACACAGACTTCTACGGCTTCTTGCACAATTTCAGGCTCACAAAAATCACTAACTTTAAAAACTAAAGTCAAGTAAGCCATAATTCGACCAAAATTCGAAGGTTGTAACTCCTGATAAATTACACACAAATTTTCAAGTACGTTTTCTCTTCCAATACGGGCTATCATGCTCTCAAATAAACCCCCATGCTTTTCCAAAAGCAATTTTAAATGGAAACGAAAAGTATTCACACTCAATTCAATGTTATTTCCCTTAAAACACCCATTATTAACCCTTCCGCCATCTTGAAACAAAATGGCGGGTAATCGGAAAGCTCTCGTTGTTTTATCATCATCGGAGAATCAAATATACGACATCATTATGCAAATTAATTTGCATAACTCATGAATTATTAAGGTAATTTTGCTAATTATGCGCATGAAAAGGGCCATCAAGCCCCGCTACACACTACTCATATATATCCTTGCTTTTCAAGACGCTTTTATTTTTCGGTTTTGCATAGCTTTTCTAGTAAACTTTATTTCCTTAAATTGGCTAGTGGTTCTGGAGGTTTTCCTTTCAACGTGTGTCTCCCCACCCCTCTTCCCGGTGATAGAATGGACGAAGAAAGTCCGCTTTAAAACCGAATCTTACCTACGACGATTAAATTATCGGTACTTGAATCCCTGCCAAGTCTATTCTGTGCAACGCATGTATATGGTTGTTCATCACTCTGCTTTACTTCAGATATCGTAAACGTCTTCTCACTGCTGACCTGTTTACCATTATGATGTATCGTATAACTTGGCTCAGGAACACCCTCGGATTCATCACATGTTATGGTGACTGCTTTACCAATTTCAACTGGATTTGGTACAAACGTAATGCCTGTAACGTTAGGTCTAGCTGCAAAGAAACAAAATCTCTTTGTTACTTATGAAAATAATCAAATAGTTGCTTTCATTTGTGAATAACAACTCGGCTATAATAATATAATAAAATACATACATACACTCTAAAAGCACTCTGGTTAAACTTAATATTTGGGTTAACTTAATATTCCGGGTTAAATGTTCTGGTACTACAAACTAGGTGGATAAATAACCAGGGGTTGGCTCTTGGCAACTATACTCTGCAGTGCAATATCAGAAAACTACAAAGGAATCACAGGGCCACAAGTTCATCTTTCAATCGGAACCCGGCCTATAATTCAGGTCATGCACAATGTTCAGTTTCATTTGAATCGTTAGCTATTTATCCTCTAATCTTTTAGAGTCAGTTAAACGGTCACTGTATATGCATGTATTTATTTTATGGTCATAGGCAAATTTCAATTTTCTTTAAAAATAAATAGGACCATGCAGAAACACTGTATAATGGCTGACTTACTATAAACTTTTACTACAATTACAACTGATTTTTCTTCCGTTAGAGTGTGGCTTTGTGCCACGCATTTGTAAGTTCCACTGTCTGTTCCAGTAACATTACTTCGAGTCAATGTTTGTTCTTTTTCTGTTGTACCAATCTGAACGCCATCTTTGTACCAAGTTACACTGGCAGGAGGGTTTCCATTTTCACCTCTGCATACACATGTGAAGTCTTTGCCTTCATCCACAGTGAAGTCTTTGCAGCCTTCATCCACTGTGACGAAACCGCGACAATTGATTGTTTCAGTTGGCTTCACTGAAAATGTATCGAAAATTCGAGGGTGTTAAAAATGTTTCCTTGCATTTGAAATGTTGGTAGAAACTTTCTAAATCTGATTGACAAACATTTCCCTGCGTCTAACCCGCTACATGCACAAGACCTTTTAAAATTAACATAACTGTAAAATTAAGCGTCATCTCCAAGCATAACTTTGGCATCCTTTGTAAGGACTAAGAATATTGTAGTAGCATCTACCAACGACAAATGCAACTGTCGAAAAAGCAACGAATGCCCCTTTAAATAATAATTGCCTTATAAAGAGCGTTGTCTATAAAGCCGAGGTCAAGGACGACAGAGGAATAATTAGGAAATACATTGGGATGACATCAAACATATTTAAGAAACGTTATTACAACCATAAGACCTCATTCGAAGATACGAGCTACGTTAAATCCACTGAGCTGCCCAAGCACATTTGGCATCTAAAGAACAAGAAACGATAATTCTGAAGCAAGCATCATCCTATTGCAGCGGCGCAAAGAGTTGCAACCTATGCCTTCATGAGAGATTGGAAATGTTGAGAACTATTCTCGAAGCACAGGAAGCAATTATCGGCGGGAAAATCTCTCTCCTCCTCAGAGCCTTCAGAGGCAGGCTATGATTGTTGAGATACATTTCACTACACTTTACATGGCGGATGTTGGAACACGAGTCGTGTTCCATCTCAATACTAATCGTAATCATAGCCAACTAAAGCCTCTGCGGAGGAGAGAGACGTGCGACAGTGAGTTTTCTCGTACAAGTTGAATGACATTTGGTGATTGTAAAATCTAGTTTTAAAAGAGTTTTCAGTAAGACTAACGTATGTTTGAAGTGGTCTGTTGTTGTTGGTAGTGATGCTTGAAGTGGTCTGTTGTTGTTGTTGATATCAATATTGAAATATGATATCAATATGGTGTTGTTGATATCAATATTAACGCCTAACCGTAAGAATTTCGTTACGGTTATGCAAAATGAAATTAACAAAACTGCAAAAGTTGTTGTTGGATATTTTATTCTGTCTATTTTAACTGATTTGTGCAGCATATTGTCAAAGCGGAATATAATCTGCCGGTATCGTGTGAACAGTTGAAACCGTGATGATTTTCTGCCGGCAGAATTTCATGCCGGTATCGTGTGAACGAGGTCTTAGTCATACGACAATGAAAGTCATTTTTGCTCGCGGATGCTGCGAAGCAACATCTGTGAGTCTGCGGTTATACTGGAGTGTGCTGTGCGCGCACTGCTTGCCTGCGAATCTGGCTTTTCAGAACCGGAAATCGGGTTTGAGCACGCGTTCGTTCATTTGATTTGGCAAAAGAAGCACGACAAATGGCAAAATTCGCACGGTGCTCGTTTGCAAAAACAACTGCAAACTGCTCTAATTCTTTTTGTCACTTTCATTTGATCTTATCCGTGCGTCGGCCTCAACGGCCTTTGATGTAAATTGTAAAACTAAGAAGGCCTAAAATGGTAACCAACACTTGCTTGCAACAAACACATGAACATCAGACGTAACCTAGCTGTTATTTTATTTAAAAAATTCATTAATAATTCATGAAGAAAACACAAAGAAAAATCATAAGCGTGTCGTATCTGTATATGTGATACAGATTCATGTTGATTTACATAAACTTTAACTTTGATTTTCTCGGCTTAGACAACGTTTATTTTTAAAATTACTTCGCCAATGAACTCATAAGATGATTCGTTTTTTAAGTTGTTTACAGCATTCGCGTCCATGTTGTATCAGATATACAAACTCTCGCCTTCGGCTCGAGTTTGTATATCTGATACAACACGGCCGCTCATGTTGTAAACATTACATACACACCTAAAAACGCACAAGTTGTTACAAATCTGCAAACAAGTTGTTAGAAATCTGTTCACAAGCTGTCGATTGTCGACAAGTTGTCTTCGCACTGCTTGTTCCCAGTTGTTGGAACAGGTTTGGAACAAGCTGTTAACAACTTGGAACAAGCTTGATGGCATTATCAGACTTGTTACAAGGTTGTTCTTAACAAGTCTGATACAATCATGATAAACAAAAATGTTACAAGGTTGACGACACAAGGTTGTAACAATACTGTTATATCATGACTGTATCGGACTTGTTGGAACAACCTTGTAACAATTAAGCCTGATAATAACAACAAGGTTGCTACAAATTGTTAACAGCTTGTTCTAAACTTGTTGACAAATTGGGACAAGCAGTGCGAACACAACTTGTTGACAGCTTGTTGGTAGACTTGCTGCAAGATGTGAGATTTTTACGTGTAAAAATAATAAACTGTTATTTCCCATTGCACCGGCTACCAAGGTTCTTTAAAATCACCGTTAAGTTGAAGGCTTTTCTATTTTAAACGCCCAGGTAAGTTGGAGGGTTTATATCCCACCATCTCATCTCCAACAATTTGAGCAAATATCTGCCTTTAGGAATGAAAGTTCACGCTCAAAGAATTAGTTACGTCAGATATAAACGTTATATATACGTTTATAAGTTTTAATTACGTCAGATCATAGAGGTCAGATATACTGACATCACGTTTCAACGCTATTGTCACATTTTCGCCAGGGAAAACAACAAAGGTGTCGCCACCCATACATGATTTATTTTATAGACCACCGTTTTTGCTGGGATTTGTATTTTGTAATTTGTTTCCATGTTGAATTATATTCTTTTTTAATGTATAATCATAATATGAATAATAAAATTGCCTTCCTGTATCTCTGTTCAAACGTTTGCAACAGTCAGTAAAATCAGTCCGAACATTATCCACGTATTCGTGTGCAGGATGCCAGGATCTGTAATTGCAGTTGTCTGAACCAATCAGAATAAAGCAATTTGTTAAATGCCTGAAAATTATGCGAAATTAGCTTTTGGTGAAAAATAGGTTAAGAAGGTATAGGATATTACACAAATGACACTTACCTGCAACAAACACATGAACAGGAGATGAAGTAGTTTTACCACCTGAAACAACAACAAATGTGTACGTTCCATTGTACTGGATATTAACGTTTTTTAAAATCAGTGTTGAAGGTTTTGTTATTGTAAATGGCCCAGGCGAGTTTTGGGTGGTGTTAACCACATCTCCATCATTAAGAATATGAGCAAAACTGCTCTTTGCAAGAAATGTCCACGATCGAAAACCTATGTTAGGTGCACCGACATGAAGTGTCCATGTTATTGTCACATCTTCTCCAGGGAGAACAACAAAGGTGTCACCACTGGACGGGGGGGGGGAAACTTGACCTACACAAAGAAATTAATAATCAATACATTTCTATTAAATAATCGAAATGTTCAAAACAATCTCAGGTACCTTTATTGGCATTGACATTATAATCCTGGCCATTAGGTTGTGACTGAAATGATTGACACTCCCCTAAAACTTGTGATGTATGGAGGGGGATGGAAAGAAATGTATGCCTGATAATGAGAAAATGTTCGAGGATGTCTGAACTTCCAACATTATTTGTAGGAGAAATTGTAGATGTATTCTGGAATAACCCATTATAGCAGACAATTTGCTGTACGTTTTTAACATTTTGCTAATGCATTTTTTTTCTAATTTCATTGTTGCTTTAATTAAGGTAAAATATCATTATTCGATTTTCCGCTAACCAGTAACCCCTTTCTGAGAATAAGAGTGTGGCGAGATAAGGACATTTTGCCCTCTAAGGAGGAAGAAAAGGAAGAAAATAGCATTAATAAAATAGTGTCATACATATTCAGCTATATTCATATGAAAATTTATATATACAGGGTGTATAAAAAAAAAACTGAACAGATTTGAAATTGCTCTCAATTTCTTAAAACAGCTATTAGTATCCAGCTTTTGATATATATGGCTTCTTTGGGTACTTATAATGTAGAATAATGAAAAAATTTCGCGAACACAAATTTTGTAAACGGGGGGTGGGGGTGTCTTTTCCGACAAACTAAAAATGGCTTGCGCATGCGATTTAAAAGCTATAATCGTATTTTGAGTTAATCGATGAAAAATGTGTTGGGCGTTTAATTGCTACACGAAATTTCAGACAATTTGCTTCAGTTTAAGCCCCTCAACTATCCACGCAAACTTACATTTTTCCTAAAAAATCAGCAATTTGCATGCTTAATTAAAAGGCATTAATTAAGCACGCGAAAGGCTGATTTTTTAGGAAAAAATGGATAGTTAAAGGGCTTAAACTAAAACAAATTGTCTGAAATTTTGTACAGTAATTAAAAACCAAACACATTTTCCATCTGTTAACTCAAAATATGATTAAAGCTTTTAAATTGCGTGCGCAAGCCATTTTCATTTTGTTGGAAAAGACACCCCCCCCCTGGTTCACAAGATTTGAGTTCGAGAAATTTTTTTTCATTATTCAACATTATAAGTACCCAAGGAAGCTATATACATAAAAAACTGGATACTAATAGCTGTTTTACGAAATTGAGAGCAATTTCAAATCTGTTCAGTTTTTTTTTTATACACCTGAATACTACATTATTTTATATTTTACACATTATTTTGTATATATATATATATATATATATATATATATATATATATATATATATATATATATATATATATATATATATATATATATATATATTAAGCAACAATTTTATTGTTGCCCACGCAGTAACTTGTCATTGGACGTGATTGGTTCAACATAACCGTTGTGATAAACTTCCAGTTACAAAAGCATGCAACATATTTTTGTGCCTAATAACCTACACCAAGACTTGACAATAGACCTGGTATTACTTGTATGGAAGGATTGGAAGCTTGTGCTTATTATATCAAGAGCTATGACAACTTATATGAACGCAGGATAAGTTGCTGTTCTATATACCTGGTTAATTAGAGTCGTACCTTCACAAGGGAATAACACAAAATTGAGACCAAATAAAACGGCAAAAACTGAGCTGGTCATCTTATTGAATTAATCTGAAGAAACAAAGAAAAGAAAATTGATCAATTTACACATGTGTGGTTGCAGAAGGAAATGCCACATCTCACACATAGTAAGCGCTAATTTAGAGGTCTGCGCAGTAGTAGTAATGGTTATGGTAGGGGAAAGATTCGGGCAAATGTGAAGCCTTGATCAAAGGCTAAAAGTGAAATTAAAAGTCAAGCATTAAATGTAAAAATAACGATCTAAAATACCAGATTAAATCATAGGCAGCCCAAAAATTGTTGTAGAATGTTCTAAATGTCGATCGGTGTTAAAACTCGCCCTATTCCTCTTAACTTTGTCGCGCGCCGCAAGCGCCGCCATATTGAAAAGCAATTGATAATATATAATAACATAAGGTTGGCAACTATATATACTGGATTACGAACATACCACTCGAACAAAAAGCAAAACACGTTGTTGTAGAAGTAAAACACAATAAAAAATAATAACACATGATAGCCTGATAATTTTACTATCTACTCACACCAAAAATTCGCTTCAATATTGCCGGAGAGCTAAGAAAAATTGCATATATTCGCGAGGTTTTGAGGAGATTTTTTTGTCTCTATGCGGGATGCCAGAGGTTGGCGTATTCGTCATATTTTCAAAAGCATCTCACTGATCCAATTGGTCAACAAAATAGACAGTTTATGACGTTTCTTGCAGTGAAAATTTGGAAACAGGGGGGGGGGCGAACTACTCAACCAGAAACAAGATAGTAGATAAAATACAAAGCAAACAAAATTGTCTATATAGCGTCTTTTGTCGGAAATTAAATTGCGAAAAATACCGTGCGTATACAACTTTTTAAGTCATTGTAAAACAGGTCAAAAGGAAAAATGTGAAGTAGAAACTCCGTGGACGTATAATTCAGGTATGTTTACTATAATTGACTGAATACTATCAAATTTGAAAACATAAAAAAACATTTTAATATTAGCGACATTGAAACACAAAGGCGAACTACGTATAGAGTAGCAAAGGATATAGCTGATATATATTATATACTGTTTGTAAACAAACAAAAAATAGCATTGAATAACATACCTGTTTATTCCGTGTCTTTACGAAGCTTGATAGTAAACAAAATTGACAAATTTCCATCGTTTTTCGTAACAGTGAAAACGCTGAAAACGGAAAATAAAGTGCGAGAA